TAATTTCTATGACACTGATGATTTTTCACTGAATTTGAACCCACTCTATCACCACTTTATTCAACAGTCAAAATGTTTTACTAATGAACTATTTGTATTTAAACTACTTGTAATGTCAGTTACTATGTCAAGCCCAACATAACTCATTCTAGCCTCCGATTCATACTTCTTCAGTCACATTTTAACTCTGTCAATTATTCGCTTATCAACATGGACTGTTTTTATGTAAGCATATTTGTGTGCATTTCTTATCTTAATCATTACATGTCTGTAGCCTATTGTTGTCTGACTATAAATATTGATTTGAGTTGGCTCGCTTAGTTTCACTTCTCTCCCTCCTCTTCTTTTACTTGGGTCCGTCTCTCGGATTGTCTGTTCAGATCAACGATTGTACGAAATATACATATTCAAAAATCCATCCTCATATTTGACTTATTTGATTCCGTCACTCATCAATGTGATGTAAGTTGATGATTATATATGAGGGTAACCAGCATGTATATTTCAATAACAAGCATCAAACGATTTACCTGGAGTCAGATCTTGGGCAACAGAATACTTTTGTCGTATCATCAAAGATTCCAAATAAGTCTTTTTAACTAGTATCAACTAGCAAGGATTTTTAGTCTATAGATTTCTTATGATTCCTTTCAATGACCTAATACAGAATAACCTATCGAACTGCCGAGTATATTTCAATCTGATCAACATTAAGTAGTAAATTTAAATTATAATATTTTTGCCCAATCAATCAACTTTCCCAGGTCTACTATAGGTTCTTAACCTATACAGTTTAGTGTTAGAGCAGGGGCTAATTTATAGGATTCAAGATTAATTTATATAAGCTGTAACCTTTTGTATTTGATCCTAAACCATAATCCTAATCTTAAGATCTACTTCTTTCCGTAATCTTAGCTATAAACCATATTGATAACGATAACAGAACAACAAGAACCTTCCTTCCAATCACATAAAATTATGTTTCGCCCGACATTAGTATTTCCAGGGAGAATAGGTGAACAACTATCTCGGAAGGTTTGGTTATCATCATAACGTGGTAGACTATAAAAATTACTTTATTGACCCGGCTACCTATGTTTCCACGAACAACGTGTAAACAATGTAAAGAACTATTTGTGACCACCTACGAAGTAAGAGGGTAAGTTATTGTTGAAGTCATCTGAATGAGTTTCTTGACATGAGATTCTTTCAATGGAAGTTGACTTAAACTACATGAAACTGATCAATTCAGGTAAATAACGTCTTAATGATGTTCAAATAAACATTGAATATTTATCAAAATTCTCAAACATCATCATCAAACGTTTCTATTATGATTCATTGTTGTAAATGGAAAATCCAACTACCTTTCTATGCCTTATGCTAATGTTACAAATTTACCTTGGTTGTTTGCAAATAAACAAATAAATTGGTTGAAATTAGACATTAACACCATTGGATGTTGGCTTAGTGGTCTAGAGGTTAAGCGTTCTCACACGAGATCGACAGGTTCTGAGTTTGAATCCCACGTGTGGGATCTTGGACGCGAACTGTTGAGGAGTCACATACTAGGACGAAACTGCCGTTCAGTGCTTTCAGGCTTTCCATGGCGGTCTAACTTACATTGATTCAGGAATTCAACCATTAAAATTACTACAATCTCCACAAAATCCCCATTCTGAAAACATAGTTTTCACAAATAAATTGTTTTATTTAGTCAAATATCAACAAAAGCTTGGGTTACAATTTTCAATACTAAATAATAAAGGTCCTGGGTTCGAGTCCCTCGTGCGGAATCGTAAGTGCATTGCTGGAGAGTCCCATACTAGGACAAAAGAGCTGTTCTATAATTCCAAGTTTTCACTGATGGTTTAGCTTACATCAACTTGTGATTTCAACTGTAAATAATGATAACTGATAAATGTAACGTTGCTTATTAGACTTTTTCTACATGAATGATAACTAAACATTCTTATTTCTTTTTTAATATCGAATGTTGTAAAAGTATGACAATGAATGATTATGCTTGAATAAGTTTGTTGAAAAAATGATCTGGTTTATCGTCAATCACCCTTATGGATACACAGACTTGGGATGAACACTTTCCGACTTATAATACACTAATTTAGTCAATAAAATGGAGGGCAAATTCATCTATTCATGTATGTTATATCCCGAAGAGTATAGTGAATAGTGACTGTTTGGATCTATTTCTGGACTAATACTATACATATTTTTTTTGTGATATAACTGTCAATTAACTAAACTATTTATATTCATGTCCCTCTTATTATAAGCTTCATTTTGACCCATAGACTATGATTATACGATTTACCATTCCTGAATTATGCCCAGTCTATCAAATACGATCTCCCACATTCACATCCACTTTTGCCTAATTCATGGTACGATGTGATCTATTTGGTTTGTATATAAACATAGTATGTTTGAAATACATGATTCAGAGGCTGAGATTGATGTTCTGGACTCGAACAGGCAGGTGTAAGCAGGAAGAAGGAGCGATACAGACTGTAGAGTGCTCGTACGAGTTTTATGCGTCATTAGTCTAGTCGATAAATCACTGTTATCTAATTGGCGGTATCGTTACGTTATAATCTGTTTATATGATTAAGTAATAGATGAAAATTACGATAACATTGGTCAGTCATAACAATATACTTAAGTTTACTTAGAGTTAACCGATTAAATTAATTTGGATTTCAAAGGATATTATCCTATTCATCTTTATCTTGACCAAGCGTTGATAATGATTTTCAGTGGAATACTGAGTTACAAAATGACATAAGTCCATGAAATCATTGACAATTGAGTTGAGTTATGTTGAGAAGATTACCAAGTTGAGAGTAGAAGCAAGTACTGGTTTGTTTGGTAATAAATTGGTAGAAGATTGGTATATCTTGTCGACTGAACGCTACTTGTTATATCTGGTCGTCACCCATTATTATGTTGGAATCGCCTATCACTTATACTTGAAACGAGGGACCTCTGCAATTCCTACAACTCAAAAGTAAGAATGCAAAGACTGCTATAAGTGAATATTTATTAACCTCTTAAAACACGACCGCTAAGACGACCCTAGTCGAAAATACACGCATTTATATATTATTGAGAATAATATTGAGAAGATTACGAAGTTGAGAGTGAAAGCAAATACTGGTTTGTTTAATTGGTAGAAGATATTGGTAAAAGAATTGGTAGAAGATATTCGACAGAAATGTCCCAGAACGAACATCAACTTTGGGATGCAAGTATATCCAGCTGACGAGTCCCAAATAGGACGAAACACGCATCCTGGATTCCACTGCTAGCTACTACCCAACTTGGATATGAGAGAAAAGGAGTGAAATGTGGAAAGGATCCCTTACTTCAAGATTTTACTCAGGGATTTTGAAATCAGCTTATTCAAAACTTCAACAAACGTATCTTCTTTAAATTTGATATTCATAAAAAGTTTTCTTTTGAATTGTCAGTGCTTTTTCAGTATGCTGTCTAGGTGTTAATTTTCTATTGATGAATCTAGTTGGGTAACTATTTCTGATGAGTATCTGTCGAAAATAAAGTAGCTCGTCATCTAATGTGCTATTAGGACGTATGCGCTTAATCCTTTAGGATAAAGAATGAATTAAGTATCTCTTTCTGCTCTATGGAATCCAGCTATGGAAATTCGTATACTATCCATCCCAAGTCGGTTTTCTTTACACAGATCTCTGTAAAGAACCATCTTTTTTATTGTTCTATAGATTTATATCTGCCATACACCTATAAATAAGAATGTACAGCTTAAGTAAGTGATTTCATCAAAAAGAAAATTTTCTTCGCTGAATTCTCTTTGCTTTTATTCAATAACACAATATGTTGTTTTAAATATTCTGTTTTGAATTGATTTTCACGTCTGCATCGGATCCTCCTCGTCCATCGATGATGCTTCACAGGTACGTGAAAGATTTCACATCTTCCAGAGCTTCTTCATCAAGTATGATTGGGTTGTTGTTCTTCGTATTGTATTTAGGGATCTTGTTTTTTCCCTTATATATATATGCTTAAAATACAATAACGATGTTTAACTGGCGAGTATTGGTATTGTGCTCTTTATCTCTATTCACGGCCAACCTTCAGGCATAAAGTATCAGTCTTCCTTGCCCTTGCTGAGTACTGGTCGGTTGTAGGACATAATTAAAATATGACTATAATACTGCGAATCACTTTACACAATCAATCCTACTTCAAGAGACTTGTCAGTCAATTCTTCATTTTAAAAATTAGATTATTCAAATGTCTAAGCAAAGTTGACTTCGTCCCCGAATGAATGTTTGATAACTTATAAAATGTTGATTATATTTTATATCTATGGATGAAATGATTTGTTAACTTTAACCTGAGACATGAACAGCATCTAAACACCCTGTTGGAATTCTATAATGCTTATATTATTGGAGATTCTTTGATAAACACAACTTTGAATGTCAATTATGTTAGTATAACCTATTCCTCTGAACTCTCTCGGTTTTCTCATGTTTCAATGTGATCGAAGTAAGTTTTCTCTTTGACTTACTACATAAAGAGGATATATGCTTTTGAGATTACTCGACATTCACTCTTATAATTTGTCGTTCCCTGCATATTACCTATTATTCATTACTGTTCTCTATTATTCTTTCCCGTACTTTTGAGAAAAGACTTTGTTGTATTGTGGATAGTGCTGAAGGTAGTTAGAAGAGTGCGTGGCGAATATTTTGAGGTCGTTAATAATATGGTTGTGGATAGATATCTAAGATCTTGCAAACTCCTGAAAGGTATTATCTTATCAGATACTAGCCATCCACTTCATTCATATCTTTCTCCTTGTATATCTCCTGGTAAAACGAAACCTTAATACTTTAGAATCCATGCACGCAAGCTCCAATCAAATAATCACTCAACTTGACTAAGAAAGTTTCTGAAACGTGATAATTTGAACATTGAAATTAAGTTACTCATTTCGTATTAAGTAGTATTATTATGTTGCATGAATTTTACAGGCCAAGAACATTCCACTTCATGAAAAGTACTAAATTTCAATCCAGAAATGAGATTTATTTTGGTTTAGAAACAAAAAAACGTGAACTGAACACATTTGAAAAATAGACACAGATAAAGGAAGACAAAAAAGAAACAAAAAGACACAAGTTTACAACAAGAAAATAACATCAAAAGGTAACAAGACAAAAACAACCTAAGAATATGATTTTGTTTTAAACATTGAACAGTTAATCATTATTTATTATTTGTTCTGAATTTTGTTCAGAGAAAAGAAAAGACTCAAGAAAAAGTACATTCAAAAGAGTGGCAATTAAAAGAGATGAATTACATTTAAGTTGCATGTTGAAATGCTTCATTCATAATGTGTGTTGTATCTGTAGTTCTTAGTAGTAGTGGTAGTAGTAGTAGTATAGTAAAGAGGAAGTAGTTTGCTTTCGGAAGGTCAATTTGTGTAGTTTGTTTAATTCTATGTGTATTATTGTTTATCTGAATGTTGTATATATATATATATATATATATATATATATATATATATATATATATATATATATATATATATATATATATGATTGAATGAATGTGTTTACATTTTACTAGAACAACATTTCATGTGGTTTATCATGTTTTCCAATTGAGAATAATGATTTCAAATAGCTAATTAATAACTTGGAATCTGTATGAGATTTGATCGCCTTTCTCACTTCATTATCTATATAGATTTGATCAGTTTTCCTTTCATCATTTGGTTTATAAGCTGATCTTTCAGTATTAATACCATGTTCAAGAATCTCATCAAAATGATTATGATTATGTTTTGTTTTGAAACTTTTACATTTGGTAGTTCTAGTGAAATATTTTTTAGTGTGAATTCTTTCAGGAAGTGATAACTGTGATGATGAAAGAGAAATATGAAAGGAAAAATAAACACTATAACCATTAAAATTAGGGGGATACTCTTGGAATATTTAATTATCAAATAATTACAATCTAAAGTCAAACCAAATTCTATGTGATTGAAATCATGAACTGATCTTAATTAGCCCCCCCACCTCAACTGCTTTAGTACGGTCAAAGGTGGAGAGAGTCCACTCCTCCTATTCAAATCCTTTCACATGATCACACGTATACAACCACTAACAGGGAAGTCATACTCATTGTCTTATCGAGAACTCAGTGTTGTCGACAAAATTCAGAGGACAAACAGCAAATGTCCGGCATCTTAACCGCGTTGGTGGGTACGGAAGACCAACCCATAGGAGTTAGGAAACCCTGATTCCAAAATAAAGGCGAACATGAGGTCTAGGACCGTGAGGGAACAAATGGCGTGTGAACCAAATGTTGGTCACTGTCTACCATGGGACTGCATCTACTTACCTTGCTCCACTACCTTGTGGATTAGGCCTTTAGGTCAAAGGCTCGTGGAGTGGCCCCCGTAAGTAAGCCACTTGCTTCGATTTTCGGCACCCGGTTAGTAACACAGCCCCCTTACAAATCAATGATAACTACTACTGGCCTCAATGCTATTGTGTGGAGCATATGTATTTTATATACCCATGTACCAATGTTTATGTGTTCAATTAAATAAACCATTAAAAGTTTGAAAGCATTAGACATCTGTTTACCTCCAGCATGGAACACACTAACAGTGAGCATCCACGACCTAAACTTCGGGGGTCGAATGCGAGACATTTAGTCTCATGAATGAACACTTTATCTATAGACCACTGAGCTAGGATCCAATAGTGTACATGCATAACTCCAGTCCATTCACGATATTGTGCCATTATCTTCGATTGCTTGAGTTAAATAACTATCTCATAATCAACACAGTTAAAATCCGCTGGTCATATCTTATTACTAAAACTCTCAAAATCTCCTCTGGAAGCTATTCACTAGTGAGGATACGGTAATTATCATTATGGGGTTGTGTAGATTATTGAGTACTACCGAAACCCATTTGGTCCTATAGTAAAAACAATTAAATCTTAATTCTAAATAATTATTTGTTCATCATTTCGGTAGTACAGTCAAAATCAGGTAACATCAAGATTAGAATGAGTCAAAGTGATAGTTTGGTGTATGTTACTTATGCTGACAGATATAAGTAGTATATAGAGCCAATCGGAAGTGGAATGTCTAACAGCATAAGGTTGAAATGAAGAGAATAGGGAAAGAAAACGGAGAGCAATCAAACTATGTAAACGACAACACAAACAAGCTGTGCAAATGATGTATTTAATGTATGATTTTCATATTCTACTAAGTCACTGGGATTTTGCACTAAACAATTAATTGATTTAGATTAAAGACCCCTTCACAACCAGATCAAAACCAGATCACAACCAGATACTTATAACTTGAAGCTTAGAAAGTCAAAATCTAAAGTTATTTTAACATGAGAACTTGTGATAGTGTTGTTGTAGTTTGGGAACCAATAGAAATGTATACCTAAGATATCTCTCTCTCTCTCACTAGGACTTAACTGACTGCCTACTCTGTTATACTTCAATAGTTCGATTGATCCCTAGTCGTTTTCTTATATAATTAATCTCGTTGTTCTTAAAGATATATTTCAGTGATAGATTGCAGTGCACATCTCTGCTGTTTATAATTATGAGTTCAGTAAATTAAGTTAATAAGATGGGGCAAAATCGACTGACTCGTGCCATATATAAAAATGATCAACGACACTATTGATCAAGACAATCATTTGTAATTGACTAATGTGAATGATTTCATTAGAGTATCAAGCTATGGTATTCAGGTTTCCAAAAGATTTACTTGATGTCTAATCCACTTAAAACTCAATACTACTACAAATTACCATCTTGTGGAATGACATAGAACCATGCACAGTAGTTATGTGCCTGTCCATGTATGCCTAAAAATAAACATGTCATAGTGGAAGAGAAATATTTATGTTTGCCTTTCTACCCAACACCTGATACTTGATAATTATCTTTTTTAAGTTATTGTTAATTTACTACAGACCTATTGCTCAATCCTCTTCCACTTACTGCATAGTTATACCCATATTTACTTTCTAAATTGTGTAAATTGTGGTCAGAAGTGTATATCATCATATAAGTGATTCATAAATTAAAACCACTTAATTAGAAGTTGTCTGCTTGTTGGGTTGCGTTCCATTCTGGCTATCAGGTGAATGAGGACGGGAAACTACATTTTAAACCAATAATCATTAATTCACTTTTGCATTGTATGTTTGAATCTTCCCATTGATGTTTAAGACTGCAATTAATCAGTCTCTTATTAACATATGTGTATCTTGAGAAGATTGTCTCGATATTACCCCAACTCACAAGCATTGTAAGCAAAGTGAGATCCAGGATATGCGTTTCATCTTATTTGGGACTTGTCTGATGGATGTACCTGCATCTCAGAGTTGATGTTCACTTCGGGACTCGAACACAGTACCGTTTACTTCTAACGCCATCGCGTTATCCACTTAGCTACTGAGTCCTTATAGCCACCAGCATGTCCAATGGGGTGATGTTTTTGATTCTCAGAATGAATATCAATTCTGAGATGAACATTCAGGTACATTCAGCTGACAAGACTCAAATAAGACGAAACGCGCATCCTGGATTTCACTGATAGCCACCATCCATCTTTGCTTACAATAATCATTAAGTTTTATTATCGATTTTTATCTCATTATCATCGTGTCATCGTTTAACCGAAAATCATTGATCAATAGAACTGCTCTCTCTCCTTACTTCCTCCCTCCTGTCTTACAGTCCAACCAGATTAGCACCCCCAAAAAGAAAAAAAAATCCGTTTACTTCTACCGTCATATCAAAAATAATAACTGCAGTAATTCTTGAGTTAATATACATCGTCATACCTTAATCAATAGAAGGAAGGGCTGGATGAAGTTAAACATTCATTAATCAGTGAACATTAAACGTTTTTCAAATTAATTAAAATACCAACAACAACTTACACTACTTAAATCAATTTTTGTTTTAGTAGCAATCACATAATCTGGATGAACACGACGTAATGGACAACCATTATAACAATATGGTCCAGTGACAAGTAAAAGACCGGTTGATTTTTGTCTACCTAAACTAACTACACGTTTACCACGATGTCGTCCAGCTAATAATATAACAATTACACCATTTTCTCTTAAACTTGGTCGTAGACGCCATTTTTTCAATATTTTCTTAGATTCCTGTTTAATTGATGTCTTTCTTTTATCTGTAGATGATGATAATGATGTTTCTTTTGGTTTATTAGTTGAATCAGTTCTTCTTCGTTTAGCAGCTAAACGAGCAGACCGAATATATTTTGGATCAACCTAGGATACAAAAAGAAAATAGAAGATGATAATGTTATGATGTGGTGTGTGGAAAAAACAAATGTAAAAATGTATAATAAGAAGTCAAAAAGATACATGAATAACTTCTGACTGATTCAAATCATTGTACTTCTGCTTTTTTTAATTTCGATGAACCTTACTGTGAAGATTGCTGGTAGGCGGCCCATGCTCCTCTACGACGAGTAACAGGTGTAAGTAAGTAAGTAAGTAAGTAAGTAAATACTGTGAAGATAATAGAAATCAGCACATCTTAAATGATCATTTCATGTTGTACGCTTTAAGTCTAAGACCATTGAAACCCTAAGCAATCAAATTATTAACAATTGATTTGTGTCTAGCATATTCAGTACTGAAATAACAGACAGTTGCACTTCAGTAGGATACCTTTGACAATGTTATGTTCTTTGTGTTAGATGTTATCATTAAGGAAATTTCATTGTTGTTCTAGCTAAGAACATTTACACCTACTTTATGCAGAAATATATCCAATATTCTGTTCTGAATCATGAAAGATAAGGTAATGTTTAAATGAAATTACTACACAAAAGAATGGACTTCATTATAATAGGAAACTTTATCTTACACAAACCTCGTGAAGAAAAATGATTGAAGTTAACTGTTGGAAAGTTTTAGAACTAGATGTTCCGATACTCATCAGAAAGACATATCTTCAATTTTGATGTTAAAGGATTCTTGCTCTATAGTTCAAACACACATCCTTGAATTTTAATTGCTTATTAGGCAGTTGATTGTACATTGTAACCATAGATACTAATTCTGATTCGATGACTTCCTACTGTGTACTTCAAAATGATCGACCGATTATTACTGTAATTAATTGATCAATAAATCACTAAAGGAAATCGATTTATTTTATCGATTAATAAGGAAGATACGAACACATATAACCAGAGGTATGGTTGAAAAACCTGAAAATATTTTGAAATGGTGATAATAATGAACCAATTAAAATCTCTTAGTTGACCATATTTTAATAATTAAACATTTTACAAACTAAAAGAAAATAGATGAACAAAATAAATTCGAAAGAAGGTGAAAACATGGTAAACAAATAATGAAAGCAATTACTATTATCATCTTTTTGATTGAGATCATAAATCGATCAATGTTAGACCACTATTGAAAACATGGAAGCACTGGGCGACTGTTTTGTCCTAGTATGGGGATCCTCAGTAACACGAATCCCCCGTGTGCATCCACAATCAAGCACGCAGGATTCGTTCTGTTAATCCACGAGGCAGTGAAGCAACGTAAGTAGACGCAGTCTCATGGTAGACAGTGACCAACATTTGGTTCATACGACATTTGTTCTCTAAGATCCTAGAGCCCATGTTCACCTTTAGTTTGGAATCAGGGTTTCCTAACTCCTATGGGTTGGTTTTCCATACCCATCAACTCGGTGAAGATGCCGGACATTTGCTGTTTGTCCTCTGAATTTTGTAGACAACACTGAGTTCTCGATAAGACAATGAGTATGACTTCCCTGTTAGTGGTTGTATACGTGTAGCCATGTGAAAGGATTTGAATAGGAGGAGTGGAGTCTCTTCACCCTTGACCATACCAAGGTATTTGGATGTCCTTTCTTCAAAGAATAAACTGGATGACATTTTTCTAATTCATGTGTTTTTTCAACAACTCTGTCATCATTTTAGTTTGTTAATTCCGTTATGTCCTCCAAAGTGATTGTATGTTATGGCATAAACAAGGTGTTCCTTTTTTTAATTTTTAACTTATTTTCTAAATATAAAATTATCCCAACAGTCCAGTCTTTTCTAACTCATGTTGGTATGTAGATTATTAGAGTTGAAATGTTGTTGTATGACAGATATCTAGTCTATTCAAGTTTCCATTCATTTGCATTCATATTAGAAGAATCTTTAAACGTTCGTAAACAGAATTTATCGTAAGCTAACGGGAAACACCAACAAGTTAATCGTGTTTGTTAGATATAGTAATTCTATAATGTAACATTGTAATTCAAAATTAGTGAGTACTGTATACCTGTACCGAACTCTATCTTAAGATACAACAATTTTCAACAAAAACCATTTTATATAGCATGAGTTTCATTGAAGTTGAATATATACCTACAAAGCATGAAACCAGAGAGAATGACTTCACATAATAATCTCATTTGTGTTTACACACTGTTAGCGGGACATAAATTAGATTAAATCATGCTCTATGAACGCTTGCATCGGCGCACGCTGATTGGATAAGAATTAGCCAATCAGCGTTAGCCAATACTTAGTGAACACTAGGAATCTTCTCATGTGAAAACTACAAATATTACTAACGTTTTTCCTATTGTGCTTCTTACTTCCATCTCATCTTGTTATTTGGAATATAATCTCTTTTTCTGTTCAACTGTGTTCTGATTTGGGGGAACTTGTCGAGTGAATTGGTGTCCGAGAATACTAAGCAATAGGAATAGCTGGGTTGTGCTCAAAGGAGAGGACTATAACACACACACATACACATATTAACTTACTTGCGTTATGAAAGACTTAGGAAAACGTCGTTTCCTAGTGTTTTCTTGTGTTTCTTCTTCAGTGACTGTTTGTGATGATTGTTCCATTGTTATTTCATTAATTACAGATTTATTATTCAATTTATCATCTAGTTGATTAGGGACGATTGTTTTATTCTTCTTTAGTTTGTTATTTTTTGTTAAATGAAGTTTTTTATTCTTTACTTTCAAGTTAGATGTATTTCTATGACTTAGAGAATTTTGTAATTCTTCATGAGAAACTTTACAAATTGTTTTACAAAATGGAATTGATATTGATGTGAACTTATTTTTAGTGTTTCTACCACTACTACTACTATTACTATTACTAGTATATTCAGTACTATGTACTTCATTAACCGGTATCAAAGAATTCGGTAATATGGTAGACGTAGACTTTGAAAAGTAATTATCATCTGAAACATTAGACTGTATTTTAACTTTCTTAGTTTTTTTATTTGTTGATGATTTTTTACTGAATCCATCTGAAGGTTGACTAACCAAATCACTGGAACTCTGTGATATTGTTAGTTGTTGTGTTTGTTCTGTTATTTTTATATCAGTGGATAGAGGAGAGTTTACAGTTTGATTTATATCAATCGTTGTTGCTATACTCTGAGGAATAGAAGTATTAGTAGTATTTTTATGACTTTCAACAACTTTTATATTCTTTTCAATTGGCTGGTTTGTTTTCTTTTGTTTCTTTTTTGATTGTTTTAATGAGTTTTTGTTAGTATCTTGATGTTCAATGTTTAATTCTGTATCATATAACATCAACTCTGTACTCATTTCACTTATATCTCCTTTTCTTAGAGATGATTGTCCTATTAATGTGTCATTATCATTATTATTGAATTGTACTTTTTCAATGTATTTTGAAGTTTCATCATGATCATCTACTGGAATTGTACTACTTATATGAGTTATTTCAGTATGAACTGTATTATCATTTGATATGATCATATGTGATTCATTGAAAACTTGTTCAAATGAATTGTTAGTTTCTAGAATAATTGTATGTTGTTTATTAGATGTTTGTTCTATACAACATTCTGATTGAGAATTTGTACTGTTTAATTCAAGGAATGTTGGATCGGAAAATGACATCACAGATGGATTAATATATTCTTTATTTATAGATTCTGATGTCCTCTCTATATCAAACATGTTTACCTCGTGTAAATGACCATTTTTTGAGTCTGTTGTATTCTTCTTCTCCTCCTTCTTCTTCTTCATCTTCATCTTCTTCTCGTCAGGTAATACTTCATGAACAACTATACATGAGTCTTGTTCTGTAGTATTATCAATATCGGAATGTTCCTTTTCATGTTTTTTTCTAGATTTTTTTGATCCTTTCTTAAAGTTTTTCTCATCATTAATTAATTCTGTTGGTGATAATAGTTCAACATTATTATTATTATCATTAGTGTCAGCTTCTTCATTAATTCCTTGAGGTGTTTTTGATATAGATTGAATCTCCTGGGGAATAATTAACAATTCTGATGTTGGTAAACTTTCAGTAATAAATTGACTTGATTGTTGATTGGTCAAGCCTATTGATTCAAAATGTACAGGATCATTTATTGATATTTCCTGATCTATAGTTTGTCCTAATAGGTTATATGTAGTTTCTTTCTTTTTATTTGATTTTTTATCTGATTTTTCTATAGTTTGTTTAGAAATTTCATCATTATGTATAATTTCATGATCCAATTCTGAATCAGTTTCTTGATTAGTTTCATTGGATAAACAACATTTAGTGAATTGATTTGATTCATTCAATAGATGAATAGATGTAGATATTGGTTTTTCATTTTGTAAAACATGTAAACTAATAGGATCTTCTTTATGGATCGATATCTCTATGGAAGATAATGTTATATCATTGGGTTCATTGTGTTCACTATCTGCTGATTCAGATATAAATGAAGAATTTAAAGGTTGGATATTTTTTTCCGATTGTTCTTTCACTTCTCTTTCTTTATTTATTGATTTTTGGGTTTTCTTTAAATGTTTCATAGATTTTTCAATATATTCCTTATTGTATTGTGGATCTATTTCAAGTACATTGTTTATAGATGATTGATTATCATTGATATTGAATTGTAATGAAGAGATTTCATTTTGAATATTACTTGTAGTTGTAGTAGTAGTAGTAGTATATGTTACATCAGTAATATTTATTCCAGAATTATTTATATCCGATGTAATGATACTACTTATGAATTCATTATGTTCATCATATAATGAAATACTTTCTACAGGTAATAATAGATTAGTATCCATAATGATTTCAGATGTAGTTTTCTCTAATGATAATAAATTTTTTTGTTTATTTTTAAATTTTTTAATTGATTTCTTATCTGAACTCATTGATTTTATTGGATCTGTAATTGATAATTGTGTTTGTTCAATGGATGATTTCAATTCATTATTCAGTTCAATATCGATTTGTTTTAATGATTCAATGAATTTATTCTCATTTTGATTAGAAACAATTAGATCAGTTATCATTTGTTCAGTATTTTTAAGTAGTATATCATTATTAATAGGTGAAATAATATTTTCCTTCACTGTTATCATATTCTCATCGATATATTCATCATTTACTGTAATAATGTTTTGATTATTTATCATTGTTAAATTGGTACTATCATTATTGATATTTTGATGAATGGGATTATTTGATTGATTTGGCAACTCATTTTGTTTTTGTTGCTGTTGTTGTTGTTGTTGCTGTTCGGTTTCATTGATTTCAACTTCTGATTGTTTTAAAGTACATGTATTTCTTATTGTTTGGTCAATCTGTATATGAATAGTTGAATGTTGTTCTGTTGTTATAATTGTTTGTTCAATTTTTTGATCTGGTTCATTTGAATCAGATCTATATTTTAATTGTTAATAAACGAAAAAATAGAGAGAGAGAGAGGGGAAAAAAGTCACAAGAAATATATATGTGAACACTTTTTTTTCCAATTGACTCATGAATTCAACTGTTAAAATTCCTATAACATCCATAAAACCTCTTCTAATACTAATCAACATATGCTCACTAGTAACTGGCTTCAAGAGGTATACATATCCTGGAGTTCTAATGAGAAGCAGTGACCAGTGGAGTTCAGCCAGGTCAATTGTGAGATAGTAACTCACTGATAACAATGGTGGATGTGTTGCTCAATTTCGTGAATTAGTTGAAGTTAGACATTGACACCATTCGATGCCGGTCGGCTCATTGGTCTAGAGGTTAAGCGTTTGCGCGCGGGAGTGATAGGTCCTCGGTTCGAATCTCGCGTGTGGGATCGTGGATGCGCACTGCTAAGGAGTTCGACATTAGGCCGAAACAACCACCTAGTGCTCGCAGATTTTCCATGATGGACTAGCCTTAATTGATTCATAAATTCAATTATTAAAAATTACTATAATATCCATAAAACCCTTTTATGAAAAATGATTGGCTTAATTGACTATGAGTTGATTGAATAATTAATTGTTTGCAATGTAAAAAACAGAAAGTTTACAAGATAGTTTCGTTTTGTAGAAGAAATTATTTTTCAAATTAATGGAACAAGATTGAATAGGATTGTTTTTATTCACCAGATAACTAGTTTTTCAGATAGTTGGAGGTTGAGGAGTCCCGTGCTAGGACAGGACGGTCATCCGGTGCTTGCGGGTTTTCCATGATGGTCTGGCTTTAATTGATTCATGAATTCATATATTTAAAAGATGTTAGTTTATCAGTATTAAATATACTGTTTAGATTTAACACTGAAATCATGTACTAGAAACTTTATGGTAAGACTTAAATGCAGAAAGAAACAACAACAACTGATTAATTTTTGGGTGATCTAGAAAAGTGCTTGCAAAAGACAAGCAAGTATCAAGAAACACTAAGAAGCGTTTCATTTAATCAGCGTTCACTTGAAGTCTTAGCCAAAAATATCAAGGAAGCGAAACGTCACATGCAGAGGCTCTGATTGGTTGGCTGCTACACTGCTACTATGTTTAGTAGCATTCCAGAATCTTCTAGCATTTAAAATATTATAAAAACCCTGTATTTTCTGTATTAAAATGAAACCTTGGAGTAAACCACTTCTCGCATACTTTGAGTCTTCTCTCTCATGTTCAGGTCGCTGTATAGTTCTAGCTTGGGGGGTTACAGAATACCTTAGGAGACGAATATATCGTTCAATCCTCAAGACTTATCATTAATGTACAAAAAACTGAGATAAATTGAATTTTTTTAATGTTAATTTTGATACGCAGTGAATAGATTCAATGTTTTGTAACGTTAGATAATTGAAAACAATCGAGTGGAAGAACTGCTTCATCAAAATTTTGTGTTAGTTAACTTTTGTCCACAAGGTATGTGCAGGAAATCGGTTGACAAGATTGTGAATCTTAAACAAACGAGGTTGGTTGAAACATTTACAATATATGCCTAACCTCAAATATCACATACCTTGCAATAATAGCTGATGTAAGAGTACGTTAAAAGGAAGCTATAGATGATTAAACCAAAAACTTGACATCGTTTCAGGAATTCATTCTTTCTTCATAAATCATATTATCTATGTCTAATAATTCCAGTTATTATTGACATTGTTTTAATCATTTAATCTTCCTGTACTAATGTGATTTTATAACTTGAATTAACTCACTTATATGCTAGGTTCTACCTCGCTTATGACTGACAAGCGTGGATTATTGTCCAAACTAATGTTCCCTGTGGGATAAAAGCCATCGTTACCTAGTATTTGAACCAGCAGTTACAACTGTTAACTTCAACTGTTACTATCCATCATCATCTCCTTTTGAAAAATGAGCTACTTTTCCCCAGTAAACACGGGGCACAATCTATGGCTTGGTTCATAATCGATACAGTTTATTCCAAGTTTATTCGTAGATGAGCAATCGTGAACATCATTTCCTTGCAACACTTTGACAAATTTTGTTTTCTGGAAGCTAATAAATCAGTTTCCTGTATTCTAGTCATGTATGATGTCTGTAACAAAATATTCAGTAAGCATCTTCATTGAAATGATAGATAAGAGTTGAAGCTCATGTGTATGCTTTTGGTGTTGTTGAGTTAGATCAATTGCCTAGAAGTTAAGCCTTCGCGCGTGAGACCAGATTTCCTGGGTTTAATTTCCATATTTGAGATCGCAGATAAGCGCTCCCGTAGTCTCATAATGTGACGAAATAGACGTCCAGTGTTCTCGGGATTTTAATGGTGGTCTATCTAAGATCAGTTCGTGATTTAAACTGAGAAACATAATTCCCCGTAAGAGGTAAATAAAATATAGCTACTGTTAATTAGTTAGTAGTATATCTCGTTTACTAACAATATAGCAATTTGACTGAGTAACATGGAGATCCAGTGTAAATGACCATGTGTCAATGTTACCCTGCGTTCAACAAGTAGATCTTGAACTTAGTAGTTGTGATAATCAAAAGTAAGTTTACGAAATTTAAGTAGCTATCCTGGCTCAGTGATCTAGAGGTTAGCCGTTCGAGCACGAGACATATGTGAGGGAATTGAAACTGCCCGTGAGAATAAAACTTGTCATAGACAATTATCAACATCTATCACTCCTAAGTAGTTAGTCTCTATAGACATTTCTGTTCTAAAAGAAGGTCAGTCACGGTGAGATTAGCATGAAGAGCTCCATGTTTCTCAAGCATGCAAATATTTCACTCACGAATCCCACGCAGAATGAAACTTATATACAGGATTTCTTTTCTTTTAACTCTTCTAAACATCTTACAATGTGATACACTTCAATCACACAATATTATCACTGTCTATTAGGTAATCATGACTGATATGTATCACACACACCTTACTACTATTAACCACTTGTAAAATTAACAATATATGTGATAAGTCTTCTAAATGAACACTTAATACAATTTCCTAGTCGCTTCTAATAACCCCATGCTAAGTCTACACGACAAAATAAGCACAAACGTGAAGTGTAAAAAGAATGCCTTATTTCAACGATGGTTTATGTACAGAAAAACGAGAGCATTTACTGTATTACTGATGATCATAGAATTCTGGAAGTTCCTGAAACCATACTAAATATAATAGTAAGTAGTAGGTAAATATCCAATCACAAATATAACACGTAACACTTCGCTTTCTAGATATTTCTAAGAAGTTTCTATTCAACTTAAATTGTGTAAAATATCTGTCAACACTTTTCTAAACTGTTATTGACTTTTACAATACAAAAATACTTTGAACCTATTCAACAGTATACTTCAATTCTATAATTGTAAGCCAAAATAACAACAACAATTTAAAAAATCTTAATTAGTAAATCAGTTTAACAATAGTTTGTCAATGTTATTGTTGATAAAGTAATTAAACCTTAATGTACATATGTCATTAGTAATTCTTATGAATAGTATAAGACCATACAATAACAAAACAGAAATATTCTATTATAGCATCTGTCAGGGAAGTCCTACTCACTGCCTTCTTGTACAACGGGTGTTGTTTACGAAATCGAGAGGACGAAAAGCGAATGCCCGGAGCTCTAACCGGGTTGGTGGACACGGAGAGTTCACCTAGGGGAGTTGGAAAACCCTCATTCCAAACAAATGATGAACATGTGCTGGCTCCAGTATCCTGAAGAAACAAATGGCGTATGAACCAATTGTTGGTCACCGGCTTCCATGGGACTGCATCTCCTTACGATGCTCCACTGCCTTGTGGATCAGACCTTTAGGTCAAAGGCTCCGGATATTGCCCCCTAAGATAACCACCTGCTTCGGTTTTGGCACCCGGTCAGTATCACAGCCCTCACACAAATCAAATGAGATTTGTGTGGCGCATATGTATCTGGTGCCCCCTTGTACCAATATCTATGTGTTTAAATAAATAAAATAACTAAGTATACGGATGTAGAAATTGCTAAGTTACACTGAACAGATCAATGTTAGACCACTATTGGAAATCGGGAAGCATTAAACTGCCATTTCGTTCTAATATGAAACTCCATAGAAGTGCTCATTCACGAACCTGCATACGGGAACCGAACACAGAATTTTCGGTCCCACAGGCGAACGCTTTACCTCTAAACCACTGAGCCAGCATGCCACGTGCAGGATCTTGGATGCACAACGCCACAACAAGGAGAAAAGGTCATCCAATGCTTCCAAGTTTTCAATGGTGGTCTAACGTTGGTGGAATCACAAAATCAATGAAATCCAATTATTTGACTAATAATCAAGAATCAGATTAAACCAAATTGACAATTTATTGATACAAGGTAAAACGTAGTTAAAACCGATCGAATCAGAGTGAAATCGGTTTAGTATGGAAAATTGTGTTTTATATATCATATAACCAGATATGTGTACCATCACTCATTGATCAGTTACATCTTATTTTCCTTAATGTATCAATTTAAAGTTTAAATTTTATAATGTAAATATGGTGATTCTAAATGAGTAGGTGTTTTTTATTTGTTCACCATTGATTAAATTCGAGAAGCTCCATTGAGTAACCTTGACTAGTGTAATTCAATCATGTTGAAGATGAGACAAGTACTATCAATGTATATCTGTGATATTTATATAATATTTCGAATGAACAGATGTTGGAAATACTAGTCAGTGAAAACCAACTCAATGGTATGAAAGCAAAATAATTGTTGTGATGCTTGACTGTCTATGATTCGATACCGAAATGAGTGATGTATGGATACTATTGAAGCCTTTCATAATAAGACGAAACAGCTGACGCTAGAACTAAACCATAATAATCGATTTGAAGAGTGATTCTGTGAGTAATTTTTTAGATGTTAAACAATAAGAATGCAGCCGTTGTGAGTTGTATATTACAAAACTAATGACCAAATTCACTCAAGATATAGA